CATAGCTAAAGCCTTTGACAGAGTCCGGCATGAAGGCCTTATCTACAAATTATACAAAATAGATCTCCCCGATCGTCTAGTACGTCTCGTGGCCTCTTACCTAAAGCATCGTACCTTTCGTTTTAGACACGAAGGCACGCTATCTTCTCAGCGCCCCATCAAAGCTGGTGTCCCTCAGGGCTCAGTACTTGCTCCTCTCCTGTACATCTTGTTCACCAACGACATTCCCATCCCGTCGAAAGGTGTTCAGCTCTCCCTCTTCGCAGATGACACTGCCCTATACTGTAAAGGTATCTCGCTACCTTTCATACAGAACAAGATCCAAAAGTCAGTTGATGACCTAGAAGCTTGGTTCAAAAAATGGCGCATCGATGTGAACCCGGAGAAGAGCTCCGCCGTTCCCTTCGATTATAAACGACGCCGACTCAAAAACACTCCACCAATACGTATGCTAGGGACCCCTGTCCCCTGGCATACGACTGCCAAATATTTAGGCGTCACCCTTGACACGAGGCTCACTTTCAGGTCCCACGTCAAAAGAGTAACCCGTCACGCACGTTTTTACCTGGGTAGGCTCAACAGTATGTTGGGCCGACACAGTAAAATGTCCCTCAGAAACAAGCGTACCCTATATAAGGTCTGTATACGACCAGTCATGTCCTACGCGGGCCCCATTTTTGCCCACGCTGACCCTAAAATTATTAATGAACTCCAAGTAGTTCAAAACCTCTTCTGTCGTCGAGCTACGAACGCACCTTGGTACGTCCGTAATGCCGACCTTCATCGGGACTTAGAGCTCCCTACAATCCAACAATTCCTAAAAAACTCTCTGAGAACTTCTTCAAAGCCTCAGAGTTGCATTCCAATCATTTTATTCGTGAGGCAACTACTTATGCAGCCCCACCCCTCTCGCTATCGAGTCCGCAGGCCGAGAAACACTCTCTCGGACCCGCCAAATAAACTTTCAAACGACCTGAACTGCCTCCTGGCGGCTCATAATAAACTCATAATAAATTTTCATAATTAATTTGCCTTAGTAGGCTCTCCCTCAGCGGCTCGTAGCCGCTTGCGCCCTCTTCTCCCAAAAGCGGGTCGCTTCCGATCCGACAAAGCGGCTTAATCGGCCAATTGTCAGTCCCCAAAGTGGAGTTTAGTGGGTATCACTTAGGTTCCCCAGTAGGTAGTCACAGTGACTCCCACATAACCACGACAGACCGGCTGTCGTGGTATGCGTAAAGCATTCTCCACTTTCTCGCCGTATCGAGGTAGCCCTTTCCAATTGCTCCTAGGCGCAAAAAAAAGTGCGAGCTTTATACAATATTTGGCTGTTGATGCGAATAGACGTTCAGAGTGTTGGACCTTATTGACAGACAATAACTGATTTTAACAAACCGTGCTTATCAGCGCGACTTTTAGTCTACTCTTACGTTTACACATCGGTTAAACTCTATGAGAGTTAGTGCCTCAACTTCTCGAGCCAATGAAAGCTCTCCAGAATGAGAGATGCGATTAGCAGCTGACAGAGCGAGACGAGCTACATCACGGGCGTCTCAAAGTTCTTCTCAACGAGAGCTAAGGCTTACCATTGACCGAGAACAACATGTGTTATCCCGAGAAGCTGAAACTGCTTCACAACGAGAATTGCGGCTCACAGCTGACCGCGAACGGCATACATTATCTCGCGAGTCCGAAACCTACACTGAGAGGGAATTACGTCTCACAGCTGATCGCGAACGGCATGTACTATTCCGTGAGTCCGAAACCTACACTGAGAGGGAATTACGTCTCACAGCTGACCGCGAACGGTATACATTATCTCGCGAGTCCGAAACCTACACTGCGAGGGAATTACGTCTCACAGCTGATCGCGAACGTCATATTTTATCTCGAGAATCTGAAACTTTTACTCAATATGAAGACCGTTTGACAAAAGATAGGGTGCACCATAATATTATTCAATCTCTTGAAGATGAACATAAGCATGAACAACGACTAGAGTCGGGACGCAAATATTACAATTCTTTGAGACAAGAACGATTAATAAGTTTGTCTAATGAAAGATTAAGAATTGAAAATATTCGGTCTCTTGAAACGGACGAACAGCGAGAGGCCCGTCTTACTGCAGACAGATTTCGACATAGTCTTAATGACTTAGATGTACACATAGAAGATCAATCTACAAATTTGGTCGTGGTATTCGGTGGTATTCACATTTGATTACAGATCATCTTCTGTAATAGGCGATATGAACGTAGTATGTTCTTTTTGTAATGCTTCAAAGTGGAGTAAGGAGTCGGCTGGTTTCTGTTGTTCTGGAGGTAAAATAAATTTGCCTTCGTTCGAAGATCCACCGGAACCTTTGAAGTCGTAGTGACTTCAAAGGTTTTAGGGGAACATGTACAATCTAAACAGTTCTTAGACAATATTCGCACTTATAATAGTGCGTTTCAAATGACATCCTTTGGTGCTCAACAAAACTCAGAAGGTCCTTTCATGCCTACTTTTAAGATACAAGGTCAGGTTTACCATTTGATAGGATCCCTTTTGCCTGAAGACCTAGGTTGGTCTTCAGGCAAAAGGGATCTATAAAGTTTCTTCAAATATATTTTGTATCCGACTACAACGAACAGTCGAATATAAGAAATCAATATTTCCCGAATTTAAATACTTAACTTATTTCACAACTTCAGAACATGTTGCATCAGGTTAATTCGTATGCGACAATTATAAAACAATTATAAAATTGTTATACGTTGCGTTGCGACAAGTGCTCGGAGCGGACGTGTCTGTAATTTCGTCACTAAATTATTGAATATTTAAACTGATTAGTCAAAGTAAACTGCATCCAATCTATAGTAAGCTAGTGTATACTTTTAAATGCGTTACTAAGTGCGTCAAACGACATAATCGTCTTGAAGAAAAAATTCAAAGCTGAACGAGTAAAAGAAACGGGCTGCGACTCAAAAAAATAATTCATCTCATTCAGCCCACGCTACCAACCTATATTGACACCGTCTGCGCAGGTACGCATACCATCTATTAACTTATTAACATGTCCGTACAGCGTTCACCAACTGAGCGACCTCTTAAGGATACTGATAGCAATAGAAATGAGGCAAATACATCTCGCAGTGAATCCCAACCTGATTTGCGGCAATTAACATTATCTCACACAGAGACAAGACAGGTAACCTTAAGAAAAAGAAAACAACCTGATGATGATCTGTCTCAAAAGTTTGACAAGTTTGAAAATAAAATAATGGCGATGCTGTCTACAATGTCCCAAGTTCAATCTGATAAATTAGATAAAATATCTCAGGAGGTATCGTTAGTAACAGACCAGATCGCCCAACTTAGATCTACCACTACGCAATTAGTAACAGAACAAAATAGACTTAATCAAGAACTGATAAATATAGAGAAGTTTAAAACAGCCGTAGAGCAGAAAATCGAAAACATCAAATGTGACCTTGGAAACCTAAAAGCAGCAATCGAAAAACCAAATTCTGATGGCCTTACTTCGAGTTTCACCGAGCTATCCTCAAACCTTACATCATACGAAAAAATGATCAATGAAATCCAAGAACGTTATCGGAGAGAAAAGAACGTAATTCTAAGTGGAATCGTTGAAATCAATTCCAAAGATTCGTTGGCGAGATTGGACCACGATAAAAAAGAAGTACAAAGAATAACGAAACTTGCATATCCTGACTGCCCTGAGCCTATAAAAGTAATGAGGTTAGGAAAATATAGCTGTGACAAATCTCGACCCATAAAAGTTTGTTTTTCCTCAGTTGACACAGCTAAATTAATATTACGTAACAAATCCAATATATACAATGTGGAAACTAACATAAAATGCTATTCCGATCAGACGCCTCTACAGAAGAAACTTATGGACGATAGACGAGCTGAGTTGAAACGCCGTATAGACGCAGGAGAGCGGGGTCTCACAATTAAGTTCATTCGAGGCGTTCCGCAAATAGTCCAAGATTATCCAAAAAACCTACCTGCACAAGAGACAATGACAGCAACTTAACATGTAGCAATATCACATACCAACTAACAAACACGCATACCAATATCATTAATGATGGGAAATCGCTTAAATGCCTATATGCAAATGTACGAAGCATAGTTAAACCAGGAAAATTAGATGAACTTAAATGCATAATACATTCCATACCTCGAACAATACACGTAATAATATTGGCTGAAACCTGGATAAAATGTGAATCAGAAGCAGAAAGCCTAACTTTACAAAGTTATACACACTACTACAACTTCAGAACAACAGGAAGAGGAGGAGGTGTGTCCATATACGTGCACAATAGTCTGACCCACAACCACATAGAAGACCTTTGTGAAAACGACAACCACTACTTATGGGTTCATTTAAACAGATTTTCTATTGATATTGGCGCTATCCATAAACCCGAAAGAACAAACAACACTGACTTCCTAGGAACCTATTCGCAACAGTTACTGAAACGGAAACGAGCAGTTGTGTTTGGGGACTACAACTTCAACTTACTAAACAATAACCAAACAACTGTCAAATACAAACGAATGCTACAAGAAAATGGGTATGGCTTAATTAACAAAATAGACCATAAATACTGCACGCGTGAAACATCCAATTCAAAAACCATTCTAGACCATATTAGTACAAACCTGCAAGACCATAATTTTCATCTTGCTATTGTCGAGTCAGCCATGTCCGACCACAAACACATTTACCTAGAGATTCACAAATATAAACCAGAGAAGCCTAAAAAGACTGCGTATGAAGCCATTGATTACAATAAATTAAACGAAACTGTCAAGAAATGCCCATCCGATTGTTATGAACCGAAATTTGAAGAACTATGTACAAAACTTTTTGAAGCTCTCAAACGTAGCAAGATCATGAAAACGAAAATTCAAAACCCACCACGATCAGGATAAATAATGATATTTTAGCGGCTATCGATAATAGGAACCGATTATGTTGTTCTTACTTGAAGACATCACCAAATCAAGTCGACGAACAACATCTTTTATCAGTGAAAAACAATGTAAAGAAAAAGATCCAAACTGCAAAAAGTGAATATTATCACAAGGCGTTTAAAAATTGTGACAAAAAGCCTCTCAAGATGTGGAATCTCATTAACTCCTTATGTTCTAATAAACCAAAACTTAGCAGCGCTCCGTCGAAACTCGAAACACATTTAGGTCCTATCACTGAACTAACTGATATATGTGATCACTTTAATACTTTCTTCTCTCAGATAGGCTCCACTCTTGCCAGTAAAATCCCACATAAGTATCACGATAATTTCACCTACACTAATTTATATAACAAGCAAATAGATATCAAAACTAAGGAACTTACACATTATACCCCTACTACAACAGATGAAGTCAACAAAATCATAGATAATTTAAACTCAAATACAAGTACTGGTCTTGATGGTTTAACATGTAAAGCCTTAAAATCTATAAAACCTCTTATATTAGAAAAATTAACATGCTGTATAAATAATTGCTTAGAAAGGGGTTACTTTCCTGATTCCTTAAAATTGGCGAAAGTTAGCGCAATATTTAAACCAGGTAGCAAAACAGATCCAGGAAACTATCGCCCCATCTCAATACTTCCAGTACTCTCAAAAGTGTTTGAAAAAGTTCTATACAATCGCTTGGATAACTATTTAAAATCGATTGACTTCATTAATACCAAACAATACGGCTTTCGCTCCAAATCAAACACTCTTTCGGCCTGTATAGACTTAGTTACCAATCTAAAAAGCAATATAGACAAAAAGCAAATAGCTCTTGGAGTTTTTATCGATTTGAAAAAAGCTTTTGATACAATAAGCCATAAATTACTTCTAAACAAATTATTTAATATCGGTATCAAAGGAACTGCGCTCAGTATGCTTCAGTCTTACCTCTCTGATAGACACCAGATTGTTAAAATTCTCAATACTCACAGTACACCTCAACTTATCACTTGGGCCCCTTCTATTTATCATCTACATAAACAATATTCACGAAATAGGTTTAGCTGGCGATGTGATATTATACGCTGACGATACTAGTCTCTTTTACTTTGGTGATAATATACAAACAATATTTAAAAAAGCTCAGAACGACCTAAATTTGTTAACTACATGGTTTCAGTACAACCTGTTAACTATAAACGTATCCAAGACCAATTATATGATTTTTAGCGCCAAGAATAAGAAAATTTCTGAATGCCCAATGCTATACATCAATAGTGAACCGCTTTCAAGAGTAGAATCTGAAACATATCCCGGACTTATTCTTGACAGACAAATTACTTGGAAGCCTCACATAGAGAAAATCCAATCAAAACTTTCTGCCCTTATGGGTAGGCTTCGGCATACTGTTCGTTGTTTTCCAAAATCTGTCTGCTACACTATATATAACTCCTTGATCAAATCTCACCCATGCTATCGAATAGAACTCTGGGGCTCAGCTGCCAGAACAAATTTAAAACAATTGCAAATATCCCAAAATAAAATAATTAAACTGTTATTCCACTTCAACTATCTAACACCGACAAACATAATATATAGTAAAACTGGCCTAATGACATTAGCGCAAATGTACAAATACAATACGTGTATTCTAATAAGAAAAATCCTGAAAAAAAGTATGCATACACAAATAACATTCACAAAAAAAGGCCCAAATTCAACGACATTTAATGAGAAGTGCCAACAATATATGTTTACAGGCACCACGTACTAATTACGGAAGGAAAAACATCAAATATGAAGGGGCTCAACTATATAATAAGCTACCAAACGATATAAAAGAAATCCAATCCTTATCATTATTCAAGAAGAAATTGAAATACCATATCTTAAAAACAGTTACATAAATATATTTAAATAATTTAAAAAAATACAAACTTTTGTACAATACATTAATAATATAATCTAATATCATAATATTCAGGGTAATTTAATGTATTTAATTTCAACAAAATCTAGTTAATTATGATTATCTGAAACTGTGCAACTTTACACATTCAATAAGTTTCACAAATAATTATAGATCCAATAAAAAAGCTTACTACAATATATTAACAATGTAATCAAATCTAATAGTAATAATATAATATAATGTCATTTCATAATTTCTTTTCTAAAAAAATTAATAATATAACATATAATAATTTCAAATTTAGTATTTCTAATAAATTAATGATTTTAAATACAATATGAAAATAATCTAAATACCTAAATAATATTATATCATACTATGTAAGCAACGTAATAATACTTAAATTAACGTATTCAATAAGTAAGTTTTAGATGCAGTATAATCTAATTTTAAATAAGATCGTCTAAAATAAAATTGAATGCGCAACAAAATGAATCTTAATATTCCACGTATACATTAACGACTTTATATGCTAGATAGAAATTTATGATAGTAATAGATGTGCCTCGATTTTTGACATGTAATAAGACCATAGCCGTTTGCTATACTCAATGTTTAACAATATTACAAAATGTGCAATGTTTTGAATTTGTCGATGTAATTGTTTTCAATTTACCCACATTTCTACATTTTTATTTTTATTTTATGTTAATCTGAATTTGAAATGTAATTGTCAATGTTCTTACAATAGTGATCACTGATCACTCAATAATAAAATAATGTCGCTCCAGCATTTGTTCAGATGTAAACATACGTATCTATTTTAAGTCAATCTTGTATTTCTCAGACAAATGAATGTTTTATTCTTATGAGAAATAAATTTCTTAAACCAGATAAATGCCGATAGGCGTCCAACTCAGAAACACCCTGGGCATTATAACGTTCCATCCACGAATGAAGTTGATGTAGTATTGATCGACCAAGAATGTGGTAGGCGTGATATCGTTATCCGTTCCAGAGACAATCCTTTGCAACGTATTTACGAAACCCACAGGGCTTACGACAGTTTGCAATATCCTTTGATATACTCTCGAGGGGAAGATGGTTATAATTTCGCTTTATACCAAACTGATCCGCGTACAGGCGCACCTAATTATAATAAAAAGATGTCATGCCGTAAATTTTATTGTTACCACTTGCAAGTGAGACGGAATAGATTTGTATACTTTCAACGTTTTCGTGGCTTATTCAATCAGTTTATTGTTGACATGTACGCAAAAATTGAAACCCAAAAGACTAGTTTATATACGATCTAATCAAAGGCAGCTGCGCGTTGAAGAATACGTGCACCTTCGCGACGCCATGCAGCAAGATAATGATACGGTGAATATGAGCCGTTTAGTTATTTTACCCTCTTCTTTTACTGGTGGTCCACGCTACATGCACGAACGTACTCAAGATGCTTTTTGTTGCGTAAGAAAATATGGACGTCCCGACTTATTTATTACTGTAACTACCAATCCCAAGTGGGATGAAATCACTCAGGAGCTTATTGAGGGTCAAGCATCGCATGACCGCCATGATATTATCGCAAGAGTTTTTCATTTAAAATTAAAATCAATGATAGATCTACTTACCAAAGATAACATTTTTGGAGATGTATTGTGTTATATTTACAGTGTTGAGTGGCAAAAATGCGGCTTACCTCACGCACATATCCTGCTTTGGTTAAAAGATAAGATTCGACCTAATGATGTAGACAGTTCAATCAGTGCTGAAATTCCAGATCCGATTGCAGATCCCGTGTTATACTACATTGTTAAAACTCATATGATACATGGTCCATGTGGTGCATTTAACGGGAATGCTCCTTGCATGCAAGACGGTCGTTGCACTAAAAGATATCCAAAAGCATTAGTGGATGAAACTGTAACAGGACATGATGGAAACCCATTTTATCGTCGCCGTTCAAGAGACAATGGTGGTTTTACTGTTGAAAAGCGAGTGTCTGGAGAACAGGTTACTTTAGATAATAGGTGGGTCGTTCCGTATTCGCCTGTGATGTCTAGAGCATTTCAAGCTCACATAAATGTTGAAATGTGTAATAGTGTAGAGTCAATAAAATATATTTGTAAGTATATTAACAAGGGCAGTGACCAAGCTACATTTGCGTTGAGAAATGAACATGATGAAGTTACTAGATTTCAGTCAGGCAGATATATCAGTCTTCAGAAGCTGTGTGGCAGATATTAAGTTTCAACATTCACGTATGATATCCACCTGTGACTCATCTGGATGTTCATCTTGAAGGCGGTCAACGTATATATTTCAACACCGAAAATGTTACAGAACGATTAGGGAACCCTAGACAAACAACTTTATTAGCATTCTTTCAACTTTGCCAAACTGATGATTTTGCAAAATCTCTTTTGTATGAGGAAGTTCCATCGTATTATACCTACGATAAGCAACGAGGTGTCTTTAATCGTAGACATCGTGGCAGGCCTGTAGATGGCGAGTCAGGTATTTTCAAAGAACATGTTCTTGGTAGAGTGTATACCGTTCGTCCTAACAATGCTGAGTGTTTCTATTTGCGATTATTTTTACATACAGTGCGAGGACCAATACCATTTATAGATTTGAGAAAAGTTGACGATGTTGTTTATCCAACTTATCATGCAGCTTGCCAAGCGCGTCGTTTGCTTGAAAATGATCAGCATTGGGATGATATTTTAGCAGAATCCTGTGTTAGTGATAATCCACGACGGTTACGCCATTTATTTGTAACATTACTCACATTTTGTAATTTGTCAGATGCTGTACAATTATGGGAAAAATATAAAGAAAAATTTGCAGAAGACTTTCTTCGTAATATATCTTACAATGATGAAGGCGCAACTAATGACAATTTCCGTGATCTTGCCATAAATCCGTACTTATTAGCTCTTCAGGAAGACTTAACAGCAGTAGGCGGTAAATCACTTTGTGAATATGGTTTGCCAACACCAACCTCAGTCGGAGAGGTTACCAATAGGGAATATTCTGCAGAGATTGGTTACAACTCAATGGAACTGCTAGCAACATTAGAAAACGGTGTCCCAATGATGACTGCAGAACAACGTTCAGTCTATGATCGCGTGTGCGAGAGTGTACAGAATAATTTGGGAACAATATGGTTTTTAGATGCACCTGGAGGAACTGGGAAAACCTTTTTGACTAAATTAATATTAGCTTATGTTCGAAATCAGCGTAAAATTGCTCTTGCCGTGCCTTCATCAGGTATAGCTGCAACAGGAGGTAAAACTGCTCACACTGTGTTTAAAATACCAATTGATTTAGATCGCACGGAAAGTCCAACCTATAGTATTTCAAGAAATATCGACAAAGCTAAGGTATTACGTGAGTGTAATTTAATCATATGGGATGAATGTACGATGGCCCACCGAAAAGGAGTAGAAGCGGTAGACAGAACTTTAAGGGATATAAGACAAAATTATCGACCAATGGGTGGTATCACGGTTTTATTTTGTGGTGATTTCCGACAAACCTTACCGGTAATACCACGGGGAACCCGAGCTGATGAGGTTAGGGCTTGCCTAAAAAGCTCTTATTTGTGGCGTGATATACAATCGGTACATTTGACTATAAACATGCGAGTGAGAACTGGAGATAACCCGGATGATCGTCAATTTTCTGAT